TGTTTTAGAGACAGGGTCTGGCTCTGTTGTCCAGGCACAATCAAGATCATAGCTCACTGCAGCCTTGACCTCCTGGCTCAAGCCTAAGTAGCTAAGACCACAGGTGTGCACCACTATGCCTGGCCTTTTTTTTTTTTTTTTTTTTTTTTTTTGGTAGAACCAGGGGTCCCACGTTGCCCAGGCTGGTCTCAAACTCCTGGCCTCAAGCAATCCTCCCACTCCAACTTCCAAAGCATTGGGATTACAGGCATCAGCCACTATGCCTAGCCTCAAAGTACCATTAAAAAAAAAAAAAAAAAAAAACTTACGTAGATCACTTCTTGGCCTTTTGTCTAAGATCAAGTGTAAAAAACCTTAGGTAAGACATGCACTTGCTGCATCCTCGTCCTTCTCCATCATATTAGATCAGGTCTTAGTTACCATTATTGTCACCTGCTGTAAACATTTTTGAGTTTACATTCAACTCAGTAAGTCACAATTCTAAAAGAGGATTCTGATTTAATGGCAACCCACTATGGTGTGCTTTTAAAGCTCCTAGGCCTTTCTAACGAGTCAGAACTAGGGAAGCGTAGCCCCACCCTCACTGCTCTGGCAGGCCTGTCTTGGCTCCACTGAATTTGAAGCACTGCAGGACCCAGGACCAGGCTCCAGGACTCCTCTTGACAGGTTCAGAGGCCAGGTTTGGGGGTGGATGCGCTCCTCTCCCATTCTCTCCAGTTCAGGTCACTGAGGCAAGCTTCACTGCTTGAGTTCCTGGCAGAGTGTTCTCTACCCACCACCTTTCTGTAGGGTGAGCTCACCCTGGAGGTTTGGGTTTTTTGAGGTTTCTTTGAAATCCTCTCCTGGCTGGGCCCCTGGGGTCAAGATCAGGATTTGGGCCAGGCAGGATACGGAGTGGGGGCGGGGAACGGGCGCAGGCAGGCTGGGCCCCCAGAGCTGCACAATAACTGCTTTGGAGGGAGGAGGAGAGCCTGGGCAGAGAGGCTTTTGTATTTCGTGGCCTGGCGTACCCGGTTTCCAGGGCAACCATGGACACCAAGGTTCTGTTAGAGGTGGAAGCCAAGACCAGAGGACAGCCAATTGACATCCAGAGCCAAGCTACCTGGGCCAATGGGAAGTGGAGGTGGGCAGTGGGACTGGGAGGGATCGGAGACTGAGAAGTGCAGCGATCTGGGCGAGTTGGAGTTCCACTGGCTGTCAGGTTCAGCAGAAGCAGGGCCTGTTCCCCGCAACTCCTGCTCAGAAGATTGTAGCAGGACCCTCATAGCTGCCAGGTCTGCAGAGGCAGGAGAGCCTGGAAAGCTCATCACAGATGCCCCTGCTCTGAATGGAGTTGCTCCGGACCAGGGTTCCCAGGGAGGGGTGTGGCACCTTGGGGAGGGTCAGCCCTGTGGCCCTGCTGGCTGCCCTCAAGGCCGATGCCCTTTCTTGGCATCCCCTGTCACTGCTTCTCCGTGTGCAGAAATCACCATGGACAACAGCCTCCTAGCCATAGTTGTGGCCACCGGTGAGTACCTGCTGCCATTACGAGTCCTAAGGGTGGGGCAGAGGCACCCTTGGCCCCTCACCATGGGCAAAGCCCAGATAGCACAGCTTCTTCATCTACAGGGTCACCTTAAGCAACAGCCATCCCCAGCCAAGACTTGAAATATGCTGTGCTTGGCTGGTCCGGTCCCTTCCCTGTGCCAGGTCCTATGATGCCACAGTCATTGATAGGAGAGGGGCTGGGCCCCAGGGGCTGTTGAGCTGGGCTCTTGGGTCCTCTCCTGCCTCCTCAGAGCCACTGTTTCTCAGGGTATTTGCTCCATCCCCTCCCTTTATCTCTCTGTAAATGTTCCCTTACACACATCACCCCCTGGGCTGAAGACAGGGAAGGGACAGGGCTACTCTGCTCCCCCTCACAAATCCGCCCCAAGGACAAGGCAAACAGGGAGCTGCCCGCACCAGTTTGCCTTGCTTGTCAAGCTGGTATCAGTCCCAGCCAGGTCATTCCTACACCAGCTTCTGGAGCGAATTCCTATCTGGTGAGGAGATGGGCCCACGTGTGCTGGGTCCGGGCTGCCCCCTGACGGTGCCTCTTGGGGGAGGGCAGCCTCATCCGCAGTGTTCATCATGGCCATCCTGCTGCTGCTACTGCATCAGCGCGAGCCCCAGTGCTGCCAGGTCCTCTGCACCTGCCACTTCTTCCGGAGTCCCAGCCAACAAGTAAGCACCCTGACCCACCAACCCCTTGCCTTCATGCCTCCCACCCCCGACCCAAATCCTGACAAAAGAGCACCAGTGCTCTGGCCAAGGAGAAACAATTATTCAGTATGGAAAGGGCCTTTGGAATCCCTTCTCTGCAGCATCCAGCCTGAGTTCCCTCTGAGTCAGGGAGCAGTGTGGAAAGAGTTAATAAGATCCAGGCCCCTCCCTGACCATTGTTAACCATGACTCAGTGCAAGGAGCTGCTCCGTGAGACAAGGTCTTTTCCCAGCTCCCAAGGGAAAGTGCAGAGCCACGGCACTGTGGGAGGGGGTAAGTGGCAACCACAGCGCTGTCAGTCCTCTCCCCAGGGACAGGGTGCCATATGGCATCCTGTATAGAAAGGAAACAAAATCTTCTGACCTGTAGCCCCCCAGGCTCTGACACCCTTCCCCCACTCTGGGCACCAGGCAGAGGTTTTCTCTGACTCTCCTGCTGAAGGTCGTCAGAGCTGGCTACAAGACAGTGACAGAATGAGCTAGTGCCCAGAAAGGAGTGGAACCTCTACACCCCAGTGCATTTCAGAAATGGTCAGGGTCTGAGCTCTGTGCCTTGGCCCAGGTGGACAGGATTAAGGGGATGGAGAAAGGGGCATGGAGGAAAAGAAAGGGTTTGGAATCTGCTGTCTTGCACACTGACCGTGAGCTTCACCCCGAGTTGTGCTTCATGATCCCAGAACTGCCCGCCTCCCTACTCCAGCACCATGGGACACCATGCTGAGGTCCAGCCAGTGGAAAGGAGCCAAGAGTTCCAGGGGATACAGGTGAGGGAGGAGCCCTGGGCCTGCCAGGGCCTGCCAGGATGGGGAAGAAGTGTGTGCTGGGGTTCTGAAGCCAGGCAAGGGACCTAGTGTGGTTGAGGGGACTAAGAAGAAGGCAGGGGAGGGAAGGATGGGATGAAGACTGGAGAGGCTTCTTGGAAGAGAGGGAGGAGTGTTGTGTGCCTGAACTTGAGCTTGCTCTGGGGAAAAGGATCCAGCCCAAAGCTGAGTAACACTGGCGCATGCCTCACTGGCTCCCTTGACTTTTCTTGGTCACAGGGCCACACTCATGGAGGTGAGGTATTCTGTGTGGGGCTGCCCAGGAGCCACCAGCTGCCCCTGTGGCAGCCAGCTCGTCTGCCCACCTATGAGAGTGTTCGGAAGAAGGACCGGCAGCAGCATATTCACCAGCTGATTGCACAGCGCTTCGGGCTCTGGGCCTGCAGAGAGGTGAAAGTCCAGCCTTCTCAGCCCTGGAGTGCCCTGGGGGAACTGAGCTTTTCACTTACTGCATTTTAACACACAATACCCAATTAGAGGCCCTGGGGTCAAGAAAAGGGCCACTCGTGGAGAACCCAAGGATATGCTGGAGGCCCCAGTTCACATTTGTGTAGATGGTGCAGTCCCCAACCCTGGGAGGCCTAACTAGAGGGGTTTCCACGGAGCTAACATCTCCAGCACCCACCGGGTGATGCAGAAAGCAGCAGTCCAAAGAAAGGGTGTTGCATATATGCGGGGAGGGCAAGCAAGTGGCTAATGCCTTTGCTCTCCCATCTCTCCAGCTGCCGCCAAGCTATGAAGAAGCCGTAAGGTCACTGCCTGCACCAGCGCCCAGCTGTGGCTCCACTTGGCCATCCCAGGAAGCAGCCACCTGCCCTGCTCAGGGAAGCACCACAGTGTAGGAGGGAGCAACCACCTCTGTCCTGCCCTTGCCCTTTCTCCAAGGGACTGGAAGGGAGAGCACTGAGCCTGTGGAGACAGCCCTCATCAATCTCCCCTGCCTAAAGACTACCCCGGCTGGGCCTTGGTACATGATGTCCCCACACAGGGTGCCAAAGTAAACCCCACAAATCCCAGTCTCCTCTGCCAAGGATCTGCAGGAGGTGGGGAATCCAGGGTCATGTCCAGGGAAAACAAGATGACAAGTTCAAGACAGACCTTCAGAACTGGGAGGCTTCTCTGACCTCCAGCCCTGGAGTGTCTGCCTTCAGGGCAGAGTCGAGTCCCTGAAAAGAAGCCACGGGACCCACAAGCCCCTCTCTGGGGCTGTAGCCAATACCACCTACCTCCAACAGCCAGGAGTGACCATCTAAAAATGCGATTTTCTTCCTGGCCCCTCCACTCAAAGCCAAGCCTCTAAAGATCCTGGCTGGGATGACAGCGAAGGCCTGGCCCCAGCCCACTTTAAGCCCTCACAAAGTATTCCTGAAGCCAGATTCTTTATCGTTTGAGATAAACCAAGAAGTAGAAAAGAATGTGGGCTTGCTACGCCTAGCTCTTCAGGTGAGCAGGAAGAAGCCATGTTACCTACTCTGTCCTGCCACTGGAAGGACCTTGGTAGTCCAGGGCAGATGGGGCCTGACCGAGCCTCTCAGAAGCATCTCCTGCCATCCCATAAGCTCTCTCTCTGCCCTGGACCTGGAGAGGCAGAGTCTTCCCTGTGGCCATCTCTGGGGTTGCAGCCCCAACTCCCTTTGTTTGTGGCTACAGGAGAACTCGACTGTGTAGCTTCCTTTACTGGCTGCCCCCACCCCTCTTCCCAGGGCCAGTCCCTGGTCTTTTCTGGGATCTAGGAGGGGAAGCAGCAATGACACCCTCAAGCACAAGCTCCCCTCCTTCCCCTCTGGAGGACAGTGCCAAAGCAAGCCCCCTCCTGCAAAGTGCCCCCTTCTTATTTCCTCACTCGGATATGCGCTTTCCTGCTTTGAGGCTCCCCACTGGTGTGCCCTAGAGAACCCGGGTAAGGACCAACAAAGCACCAGGCAGTTCCATCCAGGTGTCCCTGAATAGCATACGTTCATGACTGTGGTTCACTTTATTTTTGGCCCCAGGTCAGGTCTCCCAAAGGGTTTCCCAGCAGTCACTTCAGAGTCTCCTGCAGAGTCACCATCAAGCAGACATCTTCCTCAGGCGGCTGTGTCACTGCCCCAATCCTTGACTTCTGGTATCACCATCTCCTGTCACTTGGGCTCCAGTGTCTGTCCAATGACCTAATAAACAGGACTTCAAAGCATAGCTACCAGTTTGAAGGTGCCCTCAGGCTTGGTAGGAACCACGTGGACAAAAGTCTTGTAGAGCACAGCACCCTTGGGCAGCTTGGTGATGAGATCCACAGCCTCCGTGTTTTTGGGATGAGGCACGTAGACATCCTTAGTGTAGCGGACTATCCCCTCTTCCAGGGCATATAGACATTTTTTCCTCCCAAGACCCACCTGCAACACACAGAGCTGGTCAGCTGGTCAGCAAGGTGGTCTGTCCCAGGGTTTTGGGACATAGTTCTCACACAGAGTCAAGCCCTGGGGCCAAAGAGAGGGATCAGAGAGCTTCATCTCAGGTTCCCTTTCCCACTGGCTGGCACGTTCATACCTTCTGCTTCTTTACTGACTCATAACAAAGGAGGGAAAAGAAAGCTCCAACAGCCAACACGGGTCACTGCTCAGTCCCAGGGGAGCTGTCACCTGGAGCCATGTCTATGCAGCTGGTCAGAAGCCACACTGGACAAATCCTAAAACCCAGGAAGATGCCCTAAATCTTCATTTAGACTTAAAAACACACTAGAACTGTCACATTAAAACACTAGTTTGATGTAAATTTTCACCTAAATAGTTTAGGCTATCTATCAAGTTTAGGCTCTATGGAAAATACAGACCAAAGTTATATATGGTTAATGCATATGCTAATAATCATACTATTGCATCAGCGAATTCCCATGCAATGAAGTCATTTAATCCTCACCTTGTGAAAGAGGTATTATTTCCAACATCATTTTTCAGATGAGAAATATGAAGCAGAGAGGTTAAACTGTGTTGTATATACAGTTTTTTTGTTTTTTTGTTTTTTTTTTTTTTGAGACAGAGTATCGCTCTTGTTACCCAGGCTGGAGTGCAATGGCACGATCTCGGCTCACCGCAACCTCCGCCTCCTGGGTTCAGGCAATTCTCCTGCCTCAGCCTCCTGAGTAGCTGGGATTACAGGCACGCGCCACCATGCCCAGCTAATTTTTTGTATTTTTAGTAGAGACGGGGTTTCACCACGTTGACCAGGATGGTCTCGATCTCTCGACCTCGTGATCCACCCGCCTCGGCCTCCCAAAGTGCTGGGATTACAGGCTTGAGCCACCGAGCCCGGCGCGTATATACAGTTTTTAACTGTATCTTTTAGCTTTTCCTTTAAAACTTCAGGCTGGATGCGTAGCAAATTTTACCCAGGTAGTCCAGCACCATTGTCTGTCTCCCCCTATTAAAAGAGTGGGCTCTGGAGCCAGGATGCCTGGTTCAAATCCCAGCACTGCCACTTACTCCTGCGTGGTCTTAGGTAAGTTACTTCACTGTGCCTTTATTGTTTCATATGTCAAATGGGGATAATATTAATTACTTCAGAGGGTCATTTTGAGGATTAATGGTCAACACTCATAAAGGGCTTAGAATAGTGTCTAGCTGAAAATATGTTAGCTTTGATTGTTGTTGACATCTAGAAATCTAATGTCTTAAGTTTTAAAAGGCAAAGCTACTATACATATAATCAATTCACATATACAAATTGGCATCTCTGAAATAAATACAGGTTACTATCAGACTTTTTGTACCTACTAATATTATCCAAAAAGGAGCAGGGGAGGGGAAACTGTTTACAAAAGAAACTAATATTTAAAACAATGTGAAAAGTTCAGTATCGTTCTGTCTCTGTTACAAAGAACTGTCCTGCTCCATAAAAATGATGCCAACTTGCTGAAACTGAAACCCCTACCCGGTATGGACCTAATTTGTGGCACACCGAATTCTATTTCATTAAATTCAAGCTATCTTTCAACCTTCGACAAGTAAGTTTATGCAAAGGAAGAATTCTTAGACATAATGAAAAACTAATAAATTGAAATTATTTTTCAAGACTAAAAAAACGTTTTAAATCACCAGGTATCTTGTCCTCCAAGAACTGAGGGTTAGAAAGGAGAACCAAGAATATCAGGCCGATGCGATACCAAGGCAAAACACAGAGATCTGGGAGTTAGGCAGACCTGGTGCAAATCCCAGCAGCCACTTGCTCCTCCCACCCCTGCTAAGTCTCTGGCATTTCACCTGTAAAATGGGAACAATACCCACCTCACAGGGATGTGGTAAGGAAGAAATGAGATCATGCAGGCATGGGAATCTGCATAATGCTTGCCATTTGGGAAGCATCCAGTACATTCAACTGTTATTACCATGCTTAGGGGTAAGGAGAGGTCATCCTTGAAAAAGAAAAAGGGGGGCAGCAACAGAGCAACTCACATGGGCACCTGGGTGCCAGCGGAAATGGCGCTGTGTTCCAAGGATGTTCCCAGCATGAACATAGTGTCCTAGAAGAGAAGCCCACAGTGATTGGGGCAACGTAGCAAACTACCAAGAAAACATAATGGCCCAAAGGCTGCACACCAACCTCCAAGCCTGCCCCTGGCCAAAAACAACTCCCAGACAGTCCAACACAGGAAGTACAGGATCTGCTACCCAGCAGCTCTTATCTCTAATCACATGGCTGTGGCTCACAGCCACCCACCTGATGACCTGTCCTCAGATCTTATCTGTTCCTTTAATCTGGAGCCAATTATGATGGTGAGGAAGAACAGGGCCAGGCACACCAGGGCAAGGTGCAGCTGGGAAGGGGAAGCCAACGCACGTCCTCACCTTCCATTTTCTTAATGCCTAGGCGTCTGCCTGACGACTTTCCACCGAGGTTTTTGGAGCTACTACCCGTCTTCTTGGAAGCATATCTGACAGCAAGAGCTGTAGCCGGAGCGGGGCTCAACAAGGATGTAACTGCAGAGAAAACAGAAACATTGTTCAGACAGACAGGCTCAAACTCCTTCTGCCTCGATGGGCCACTTGCTGAGAGGTGAGAGGCAGTGGGGAGATGAGAAAGATGTGTCAGGGGAGCAGAAGTGTCACTGAGTGTGTTAAGGAATATAAGTCCTTGGCCTTCTCCTTTTGGGGGAGGTGGGGGGAGCAGTGAAACATAAATGGAAAAAAATAAACATCATGTGTTCTGGGTCCTGACACATTCAGTCTGAATGTGCTAAGGAGAAATGGACACCACAGAGCTGCCTGCTTCAGAAGCTCACTCACCCTCATGCACCCTGGAGGGGCCAGAACAGGCCTGGGGAGCCCAGCACATCCAGAGAGACTTCTGCTTCAGCCTTACCCATGACTTTTTTTTTTTTTTTTTTTTTTTTTTTTTGAGACGGAGTTTCGCTCTTGTTACCCAGCCTGGAGTGCAATGGCGCGATCTCGGCTCACCACAACCTCCGCCTCCTGGGTTCAGGCAATTCTCCTGCCTCAGCCTCCTGAGTAGCTGGGATTACAGGCACGTGCCACCATGCCCAGCTAATTTTTTGTATTTTTAGTAGAGACGGGGTTTCACCATGTTGACCAGGTTGGTCTTGATCTCTTGACCTCGTGATCCACCCGCCTCAGCCTCCCAAAGTGCTGGGATTACAGGCTTGAGCCACCGCGCCCGGCTACCCATGACTTTTTTTTTGTTAGAGTTTTACTCTTGTTGCCCAAGCTGGAGTGCAATGGCGCGATCTCGGCTTATTACAACCTCCGCCTCCTGGGTTCAAGCGAGTCTCCTGCCTCAGCCTTCCAAGCAGCTGGGATTACAGGCATGTGCCAACACATCTGGCTAATTTTTTGTATTTTTAGTAGAAATGGGGTTTCACCATGTTAGTCAGGCTGGTTTCGAACTCCTGACCTCAGGTGATCCCAAAGTGCTGGTATTACAGGCATGAGCCACCATGCCTGGCCTCACCCACAACCTTCTTAGCTACTCACTCATCCACTGCACACCAAATACTAGAAAACCAAAAGGGCAGCTGGTCTAAGGGTGGCTCCCACAGGGTCCTGGCCATTTCAGAAGGCTGGGCCCTTTCTTACCAAAGTCCATCAAGCAGAGGTCCAACCATGACCCACACACTGCCCTTGTTAATCTGACCTCTTCATACTAATTCCGAAGTGCTCAATGCCATTCATTTGAAAAAGTAAAATGAACTAAAATTCATACTAAGATTGTAGTCTCCTGCTGTATGATAAGCCTAGGGGTGGAAGTCCTTTGCCCGCAGAGGTCTCCAGACACTGCCATGATTTAAGGCCCATGTCAGTGTCTTCAGAGTAGCCTTGTGGGTCTCTGGAGCCTGTTAAGTTCAGAGGTTCCTGAAGCCTGGGTTTCTGACATTTCCATGACAAAGAGACTAGCTGGGGCAAAGGACTAGAGGTAAGGACTTAGAAAGACAACAGGTTAAATGTCCAGGACCAGGATATACCTACCTCTAAACATCTATTCATTCATTCATGTACTTACTAAGCTCAGGAACTAGGCTTTTACTTTACTTACATTATCTCATTCACAAATCTTTCATCCTACTCCCCATTCTCCTCCTCAAAGCAAATGGTGCCACCATCCATCCAGTTGCTTGGGCAGAAACCACAGTCACTGAAGATCCCTTCTCTTTGCTGACCTCACATACCCAGTTCACCAGCAAGCTCTGTGGATGCTACTAACTCCACAGTAGTAGTAGCATCCATTTTCAAATTCATCCATTTTCCTCTCAGTTTACTGCCACCACAAACACCTTGGCTAAATCATCTCTCCCCATAACTACTATTATAGCTTTCCATCTGTTTTCCTCATTTCTACTCCTATCCCCTTTAAATTTACATAAAAGCAATTGTTCGCATCTCAAAACATAAAACTGGCTCAAGTCACTCTCCTGTCCCTCACTCTACACAAGGCTAACTGTCCTGTAATTTTATTTTGTTGTTGTTGTTGTTGTTTTGAGACAAGGCTCCATTCTGTCGCTTAGGCTGGAGTGCAGTGGTATGAACACAGCTCACTGCAGCCTCGACCTCCCGCCTCAGCCTCCTAAGTGTCTGAGACCACAGGCACGCATCACCACACCCAGCTAATTTTTGTATTTTTTGGTAGAGACGGGGTTTTGCCATGTTGCTCAGGCTGGTCTTGAACTCCTGGGCTCAAGCGATCCGCCTGCCTTGGCCTCCCAAAGTGCTGGAATTACAGGCATGAGCCACTGCACGCCTTCTGTCATTCTTTAGGTCTTAAATGTTATCTCCTCAGAGGGCTTCCTTCACGGTCCAATCTAAAAAAAGACACACACACACACTCTTTCTTCACAGCACTTGCCAGTTTACAACTATTTTATGTGTTCATTTATTGGCTTATGCACCAGAGGGAACCGTTCGAGAGTTAGAGGCCTACTGTCTTCACGTTTTCTGCAGATTATCCGAACACCTACCTCTGTGTCTAGCACAAAGTAAGACATCAATCTGTGGAAATGATCAGATTAACTTTTTCAGCCCCAGTGTGCCAGTGTTACTAATGCTTCTACACAGAAAGGAAGGATCCACCCAAACCCCCAACCAACAAGGAAGCCGTCCATGCTCCTGAGGGAGGGAAAGGACAAGTGCTCCTCAAACTCCCCCACCCACGGCTTCACGCAGGATGTGTCACGTGACCAGCGACAGCCGGCTTCAAACCTGGCGTGCCCCACAGACTTCCCCTTGCATTCGGGGTCCTCCGCAGAGATTAATGTCACCTCCTTCCCTCCCTGCTGGATCTCCACTCTGCCTCCCCTGCTCGCCCCGCTCTGACTACCGCGTCCCATTACCAGCTGTCCGGATCCTCAGCACCAGCACCGCCAACGCCATGCTTGCGTTCACCAACTTCCGGTCCCCAAAAGGTTCTACTTCCGCTATCAGCAGCTCTACTTCCGGGTCCTGCGTGGCAGTTGAAAGAGCGGCGGGAGAAGTCGCAGGTGAGTATTCCCGGTCGCAGGCCTGCGGATTGGGCAGGGCTTCCCTCCTAAGTACCGCTCTGCAGCGTCTTGGTGGCCAGGGCGTCCAGGAGTCTCTGCAGCGGACTGCCAGCCTGCGAGGCGCAGAGCTTATCGGGCAGGAGCCCGCTTGTGCCACTCCCCTCATTTGCAGATGTCAGCAGAGCCCAAGCGAAGGGTCAGACAGGAGGCTCCCTCCTTAGTCATTCAGCTTACTTTACTCAGCCAGCTGTGTGCCAGATACTGTACTAAGCGCGGTGGATGCATTATTTCATTTAATTCTCACCACCTTATAAAATGGGTGCTGTTATTGTTCCTGTTTTACTAAGAAAGAAACTAGACCTAGGCAGGTTACGTGTCTCCTCCTGGGTCATACCTGCAGTGCTAGTAAATGTTGAAATAATGATTAGCTTTGCACATGACCCAGCAATTCTACTCCTAGGTATATACACGCAAGGGATTTGAAAACATACCCCCCACTAAAACTTGTACATCAATGTTCATAGCAGCGTTATTCATAATAGCAAAAAAAAAAAAAAAAAAAAAAAGGAAACAAATGTCCCGAGTGATTAGTGGATAAACAAAATGTAGCATATCCATACAATGGAATATTAGTCAGTTATAAAAACCGGTAAGTACTGATACAGGCTACATCATAAATAAACCTTGAAAACATTATGCTAAGTGAAAAAAGCCAGTCATGAAAGGCCACATATTGCGTGATTCTATTTATATGAAATATCCAGAATAGGCAAATGCACAAAGAGATTTATGGTTGCCAGGAGCTGGGGAGAGGGAGGAAATGGACAGTGACTGCTTAATGGGTGCAGGAATTCTTTTTGAGGTGATGAAAATAAATGACGATGAATATTGTGAATATACTAAACATTGTGAATATACTAAAAACCTTCTGAATGTACACTTTTCAAAGGATATTATGATGTGCGAATTATATGTCTTTTTATTTTATTTTTCTTTCGAAGCAGGGTCTCACTCTGTCACCCCAGCTGGAGTACAGTGGTACAATCACAGCTCACTGCAGGCTTGACCTCCCAGGCTCAAGCGATACTCCCACCTCATCCTCCTGAGTGTCTGAGACTATAGATGTGAGCCACCACATCTAGCTGTATTTTTTTTTTTTTTTTTTTTTTTTGTAGAGACGAGTTCTCACTATGTTGCCTAGGCTGATAGGCAACGCCTGGGCTCAAGTGATCCTTCTGCTTTGTCCTCCTAAAGTGCTCAGATTATAGGCATGAGCTACCATGCGCAGCCTTTATCTCAGTTTAAAAAACAAAAAAACAGCTTTTGACCATGTGCAGTGGTTCACACCTGTAATCTCAGCACTTTGGGAGGTCAAGGCTCGCAGATCACCCGAGGTCAGGAGTTCAAGAACAGCCTGGCCGACATCGTGAAACCCCATCCCCACTAAAAATACAAAAATTATCCAGGTGTGGTGGCACATGCCTGTAATCCCAGCTACTCAGGAGACCAAGGCAGGAGAATCACTTGAACCTGGGAGGCAGAGGTTGCAGTGAGCTGAGATTATGCCACTGTGCTCCAACCTGGGCAGCAGAGTGAGACTCCATCTCAAAAAAAAAAAAAAAAAAAAGGGGGGTAACTTTTGACATCTCCGTTTCAAATGTGGAGATCAACAAGAGGGTGGAGATGTTAAATCTTGTTACTAGCCCCCATTAAAATTTTGTAATGGTAACTCTACTTTGTTTATATATCACCTGGAAAGAATTTGAGGAGGATTCCTGTTAGACTACCATAAGTTAGAGTTCCAGATTGAATGTGTTGGGGCCATGTCATATTTCTCTGTTTCTGTATTATCTATATCTTATATTTTTCTTTACAAAGCTTGGCTATGGAGCACAGCTAGTGGACTGAATTGAATACTCCAGTCTGTGTTGTATGTCTCTTCTCCTTTTAGGGAATGATTTGATAGCACATACTGATGGCTCTGAAGAAGTCATCACCCTCACTGGATTCTGGTGATAGTGACTCTGAGGAGTTGCCAACATTTGCCTTTCTGAACAAGGAACCTTCAACAAAGAGGAGACGGCCTGAAAGGGAAGAGAAGATTGTAGTGGTTGACATCTCAGATTCTGAGGCCTCCTGTCCTCCATCACCAGGCTTGAAAGATTCACCACCTGTCCTAGACACAGCTGAAACTGTCACACAAACACAGCCAGTCAGTTTGCTAAGCAGTGGAAGTGAGGATGAAGAATCTATTCCTCTAGCTCAGAGACTTATATGTAAGTTTCTAACCCACAGGCAACTGAGCCCTGAGAACTCTAGCTCCCTAATTAAAAGTGTTTTGGATCATCAAAATAATGAAGGTGTGTCATGTGACTGGAAAAGGCAGCCCTTTTCAAAGATCCCTGAAGGTCGCCTCCAGGATACTCCAGAGAGGAGTGCATTAGATAACACGGACCCAATCTTAGATTCATGCCGTCAGCTTCCAGCCTACCAGTATACCTGCCCTGGCCAGAGCAGCAGCTTGGCAGTAACCAAAACAAATTCTGAAATCCTCCCACCCCAAAAGAAAACCAAACAGAGTCAGAAGGTCCAGGGAAGAGGCTCACAGGGATGCCAGCAGCAGAGACAAGCAAGGCAGAAGGAAAGCACCCTGAGACGACGGGAAAGACAGAAAGCAGCACCGGTAACCAGGATGAAAGCCCAGAGGCCAGAGGAATGCTTAAAACACATCATCGTGGTGCTGGATCCAGGTCCTCGCATGTGTCTTTGTCCTTTGCTGAGTTATCTGCCTTCTGGACCACCCACTGACAGTCCCTTTTCCATCTGTTGCAGTGCTTTTACAGATGGAAGGTGGGGGCCAGCTCCTGGGAGCACTGCAGTCCATGGAGTGCCGCTGTGTGATTGAGGTGCAGGCCGTGCCTTGCAGTGTCACTTGGAGGAGAAGGGCTGAGCCGTCTGAGGTAAGGGTTTTCCAGCTGACGTTTCCTCCCCGTCCTCCCCTTACAGTTACAGGATAAATATGCTTTTTTTAAAAAAATGATACTTATTAGTCAGGGCCCCAGCAGGAAAACAGATGGCACATTCAACTCAGGGTAATTGAAGAAAGATTGAATAAAGGGACTGCTTGACCAAGGCATGGGCAGGGTACAAGGAAGCTACCAGGGACAGCATGGTACCTCAGGGTAACAGCACAACTCAGGGCTTTTTGACCTCAGTATTGTTGGCATTTTAGATCGGAGAACTCTTTGTTTTGGGGGCTGTCCTGTGATGTGCAAAATGTTGAGCAGCATCCCTGGCCACTGGCCACCAATATACCCCTCTCAGTCATGACAATAACAAATTCTGCAGGCATTGTCAGGGGTCATTTGTGGGGAAAGAGCACTCCTGTTTGAGAACCACTGGCACAGCTGTGAATATTCCTATGCCTGAAGGGATGAGCGGTGGGAGTGGTTAACAAAATCCAGGAGAGAGAAATGGAGAGAGGGCCACCTTGAGAGAAGCTATGAGCTGCCCCAGAGGGGGACAGCAAACCTTAGGTGACTCCACTGGGAGGGAGCCAGGGAAAAATACCCTGACTTCACTTTCTTCCTTCCTACTAGTCCTCTTCTAGGGTTCTCCGTTGGTGAGACCCAGCTGGGAGCCAGAAGGCATGTGGGCCCTGTGATTTTTGTAGAGATCAGAGAGCAGAGTGGAGCTCGTATTTTTGGTAGAGATGGGGTTTTGCTATGTTGCCCAGGCTGTTCTTGAACTCCTGAGCTCAAGCGATCTGCCTGCCTCGGCCTCCCAAAGTGCTGGGATTACAGGTGTAACCCACTGTGCCTGGTGCTAAGATTCTTTTTTATCTCACCAGAAGCATCTTGTATAAAAAAAGAAAAGATTTTGTTTTCCTCTCTTTGATTTATTTTTTGGACGTGAAAACTTTCTCAGTAACATAGGACAGTTACCCACACTTTTTACTCTGGGGTAGTATTAGCAAGCCTTTATATTCATAGAGCAGCTTACCCTCTCAAGGGACTCCCACATCTTGTCTTTCCATCAGTCATCCTATAAGGTAGGACTTCTCCCCACATCACAGGTGGGGAAACTGGAGCTCAGAAAAGTTAAATGCCTTGTTGAGGACCACAGTGGGAACGAGAACCCAGAGCTCCTCCCACCTACACTTTGCTGTAGTATGCGTCTTGATTTTGCTTATAGGGACCCAATCAGGAAACTTTCTTTTTTTTTTTTTTTTTTTTTTGAGACGGAGTTTCGCTCTTGTTACCCAGGCTGGAGTGCAATGGCACGATCTCGGCTCACCGCAACCTCCGCCTCCTGGGTTCAGGCAATTCTCCTGCCTTAGCCTCCTGAGTAGCTGGGATTATAGGCACGCGCCACCATGCCCAGCTAATTTTTTGTATTTTTAGTAGAGACGGGGTTTCACCATGTTGACCAGGTTGGTCTCGATCTCTCGACCTTGTGATCCACCCGCCTCGGCCTCCCAAAGTGCTGGGATTACAGGCTTGAGCCACCGCGCCCGGCCAGGAAACTTTCTATAAAAGTCCTGCTCCCCAATTACTCTATAATACTGTACTGCTGGAGGATTGTTGGCCTTGAGGCAGTCTTGACTTTGATTATGCCCTACCTGTGATAAAGAGGAATTGCTCTCATAGACTGATGTCTCCCTTATGACTCTTGTCTTTGTCACACACACACAAAAAAGCTATGTGATCGTAAGGGACACTCAGCTCATAGCATCTACCTTCAAACCGGAGTCATTTACTTGTACTAAATCCTTTGGAAGAGTTTCCCTTCCCTCCATCCCCGTATTCAAAATGTACAGAACAAATTGGCAATGACTTCCCAGCCCCTTTCAACTTGCTATGTCCCTTTTTTTTTTTTTTTTTTTTTTTTTTTTTTTTTTTTTTTTTTTTTGAGACGGAGTTTC